TCAACTTAAGGACAGACCTTGGGAATGGAACTTGTTCTTAAACTGGGGACTACCTGTATTTCTTCATCCTGTACATGAAATGGACTATGAAAGAGATGAGGATGTGCACAGGGAAGAATTAACTATCTTTGGAATGAAACACAACACATCAGACCAAATGTTCCTAAACAACTGCACAATAAGAAAATGTCTATTTATCTACAGCTTACTGAAGCATTGGTGACACACCACCTTGAATGCACCAAGCAGCTAATATTTTCTTGGTAATCCTCTAAGGCAGAATGCTAATATAATATCCATACCTCTCAAGCACCACTTCAGGCTCTTTTCCTCATCTGATCTATGTAATTTTAGAGGGAAATGGTAATATCTGCTTCCACCTGAGTAACACAGAGAATTTCTGAGCTGCTAGTAGGCCATTTTTAACCCCATCAACCATCAACAATTCCTAGGTTTCCTCTGGGGAAACTGGTATAGCTAAACTGTTATAAAGCTGATAAGAATTCTTAAAGTACATGCATTAGATCTGGCCATCTTCTCTCAGTCCCAAAACACATACGAATGTCTTGTGTCCTGAACCATCATGAATCTTGCTGATCCAGCAAAAGAGGTGGTGGCCAATTGATCACAGGCTGATGAAAGCAGGAAGCAGCTGTTCCTGGTGTGACCCAGGCAAAGGGAAGGAACTCACTGTCCTCAGAGCCATTGCACAACAAAGAGCATATGGCTTCAGGCCCAAGATGCTGTTGTAGAACAGAAGCACATAGAAAGCTGCCTTAGAATGGGGTCAGACTATTTGAACTTTTAGCCTAGTAGGTACAGCCAGTTCAAACTGGCAGGTGTGATTACCCTGCAGACAGGTTTTGCTGTTGCCCCCAAAGATATAGATAGGTCCAGGGCTTACTTTGATCTACCTTACCAGTGCAGAGTTCAGAAGCAGCAGATTAAAAAAGAGAAAAGGGTGATTCTTTGGCCATTTAACTTCTATGGGTGTGATAATTGATTTTTCCTGAGGGGAAACTCAGGTTCAAATCCTACAGAACACTGACCTGATTAGTAAATAAGCCATGGTTATTTAACCATGGTTAATTGAATGAACTACAACCATGTGGGTTTGCATAACACACTGAACCAAAAACTGGTTAGATGGAATTCATATTATTTATGCATACTTTATAAGAATAAGCTTGGATATCTTATTTCATAGAATTACTGAATAGAAGAGTCCACTGAGGTCATCAACTCCATCCCCCTTCTCAGTACAGGAGTACAAATTAAACCATCCCAGCAAGTTGGCTGCCTAACTTTTGCTTGAACACATCCAATGAAGGGGACACCTCAGAAAAATGTTTAAGAAAGGTTGGTTGCAGTCACCTTGCTGCTGGAAATGCAGTTCAAAAATTGGAACATACATTCATAGAGATTAGGCTTTGTCTTCAAATGCAGGTTAGGACTATAGGATGGTGCTTTATGTCAAATCAGACCATTGACCTGTCTAGCTCAATGTTGGCTAGACTGACTGGCTGCGGATTCTCTCAGGACTCGAGACAGAGGATCCTCCCCACATACCAGAATATGCTGGATACTAAACTGGAGTCTTCTGGTATGCAAAACCATGTGATCCTCAACTGAATTGCAGCGGCTCACATGATGAACTATCCCTCTGTATCAGTAAAGAACAATTACTCTCAGCAAGCACATACCTCAGGCAGCTAGAATTCTTCCCTCATCCTTTAATTTGCTAGGTGGGTGGAATTTTTAAATGTTTGGAAATAAGTGAAAATGGAGAGGGCATTCTCCTTCTCCTCAGATACCCACTCATCTCCCATAGCATTTGCCTTTGCATTTTTTTTTCATTTAGAGTACAATTTTGCACAAGTCCAATCATCAGTAAGTCCCCAGTATGCCCAGTGAGGCTTATTGTCAGATAAGAATTGTGACCTTCATATTATTGAACAAGTTGTGTAATTCTACCCAATTGACAATCACTTTCATGAACAGGATCTTATAGCCGGAGAAAAGCAGCCGTTTTTCTGGAAACCCTCCCCTCAGAGCCAGAAGTCAAAATTTCTGAATCCAGCTGGAGCTGGCATTTACCTGCTCTTTCCAATATCATGCTTGGTTTCTTCCCATATTTCTCAGGTTCTTCACACCTCTTATAGATACCCTGTGATGCCATTCTTCTCAGTCTCTGGAAGCTGTGGGACTTTCAGCTGTTTAATATAATCTAAAGTTCTCCCAAACCTTTTCTGAGGAAAGGAAATGAACATGAGTAGTCACTTCCTCTTTTTGGGTCAGAACGTCCAAGCTGAAGTTCTTAGAAACCTTCCTCTGAAAATCCAGATTTCATCCCAATGCACTGATTACCAAAGCCTCCTAAGGGTTGGGTAGGAATATGATGAATACTAAAGAGCTTGCTCTGTGCATGTCAGAACTAGCAGACAGGTCTGGGCATCCTTCAAACCATCTGCAGATGTTCTGGAAAACCCAGTGCTATCCACGAGTCGTCCAAAACCATTTCAGCAGTTCAGACTTTTCTGGGACTTAATGGGCTCCTCCATATGGCAGCATTAAAGTGCTTTTCTGCTGCGCAGGAGCCAGGAAGAAAATATGCCAGCATAAAAATCTGCTGCCTGGATTTCTGACCCCTTTTCTGCCTTGGCAATGAAGCAGAATATGGGTTCTGTTCACATGAGACATGGGGAGTGGGGAAAGCCTCCTTTGGTGATAGTTACTAGTAGCAGAAGGTCTGTGGAAGTTCAGTTGTTCTCCAGTCACATGGAGTGGGGTTTCCAGTCTGTGGGATTGGAAACCTGATACCAAAGGATTCATTCTTCCCTGCTTCTCCACTTACTTCTTAGGGGCAGAGAAGTACAGGTTGTCCTTGTTTAACAGCCACAATTGGGACCGGCAACTCTGTCACTAAGCAAAGTGGTTGCTAAGTGGGAAATCACGTGGCTGCAACTGTGCTTTCCGTTTCCCCACTCCCCTATCCTTTGGAATGCTCACCCTGGCAATGCTGGGATAATTAGCAAGAAGAAAATTAATGTTTATATTTACATTCATTGGAGAGGAAGGGATTGCAAGACCGTAAGCAGGCACACAATGGGGAATACACCAGACTGTTTGTGTAGTGCACTTGCAGCTGCCAGTGCATTGTTTTCAATGTGTATTCCCTACTGTGTGCCTGCTTACCATCTTGTAATCCCCTCCTCTCCAATCTCTCTGCTCTGCAAGAAGGGGAAAAAAAGAAAAACAACGGGTCAGGCACAGGACACCGCATACTGACTGTAATGGCGATCATGTGACTGAGGGACAGCACCATTGTAACTTCAGATGGTTGCTGAACAAGGCAGTCGGTAAGCAAGGACTACCTGTAGAGGAGAACAGCTCCTTCAGTGCCAGTTGTCCTGGCACCAGGAAGAACAGATCCTCAACCATCCTTTATTGGACAGGAGTGGTGGCTGAACAGCCACCCCATGTGATAAAGCATGGAAGGAAGTGAATCTTCTTGGTGCTAAGAGGACTGCCAGCCAGAAGACCCACTTCCCCAATTCTTTCTCCCATTCCTTGCTTCTCTTGCTTGCACCAGAAGGAAATGAAAGAGACCACATTTTAGAAGTGGCGCAGGCAAATAGATGTTGTCTCTGTGGTGGGATGGGTAAGTTAAAGGCAGCATTGTCCATTTACATCCTCTAAATATGATTGTTGAGACATCTCCATTCTGTAGTTAGCAGATGATGCAGAACAGCCCAGACACACAGTCATGCCACGCCCCTGAGAAATCATCTTGCAAAAATTTAGAGAGGAAGCAGAATCACATCTGTCTCCTGGAGTGATTTGGCTACGCATGACCTACTTGGTTGCATGTTTGGTGAACATGAAAGATTCATTCTCACTGCACATACAGTGGAGTCCCTGCTTAGCATACATTTGCTCTCTGTGCATATATTCTATGCGTATGGGACATAATTCAACTTTTCATACAGACAGACAGATCTATTTGTTTTATAGGTTTACAATCAAAGACAAAACAGAAACAAGCAAAACCCAATGTTACACTTAACCAAAGATTATAAGCTAAAATAATACATTAAAAATACATATCTATAAGGACATTTAGTAAAGTTACTACACGATTAAGCACTGAACACAACTGGTAATTGAACTGAATTTGGAGACTCTTCTAGAGATTTCAAATGGCCTTTCAGCTAATAAAAGGATAATATTCTCCTCCTCTTAGCTACCATAATTATGAGTTAGTAGAGGCATTATCAGCTCAGCTCACTAAGCCATATAAAAAGGGCAGCACAAAACTACAGGAGAAACAGATTATATTTCCCCCAGTGGGCAGGATAAATTCACTTGGGCACAGAAAAATCTTTCTTCCAACAGTGAGGATGGCAAAACATTAAACTGAGTAAGTGCAGAGCCTCTCCTATGAGTCAGGTAGAGAATATTAACTACATACTAGTCATGTAGTTGGGGGGGAGCAGGGGGATGGGGAAGGGTCTTCCAGGCAGACTTGTCCTGTACAAGGTAGGGCTGTACTTCAATCATGCTGAATATAGTTCTTCAGTTCCCATTGCTCCAGCTGTAACCAAACTATCTTGGATTCAATTAAGGTCAAGTACTGAGCTGAGAAGCCATAACATTTTAAACCTAGATTAACACTTATTTTCCAAGAAGACATAAAACTATATTGTAAGTCAAGGAAGCCAAAGAACTGCCAGCGAAAACCAATTTGAGTGTGATATACAGTATTATACTAGCTACATTCTCAGCACAAAGCAATATAGATTCAGAAATGTGCCCTCTTCTTTCTTTATGGCCACACTAGCATCCAATTAGCTCTTCCTGAAGTCCTGAAATTGTCCTCAGGTTAGTTGATTCTTTGCTTTAAACTTTGTAGGTCCTAAAAATATTCAGCATGGCCTCTGGAGTAAAACCAGCATGCATGGATACTCAAAAGGAACGATGATAGAAATTAGTGCTACTAACTCACAACTTGGTGTAACAGGTTGTGATTTTCATTGTGCAGCACCTAAGCGGGTGGGGCAGAAGAAACCAGATGAATGCAGACAACCCTTCCAAGTGAGATCAGCTGCTTTAGCTGTTCAGAGCCTTCCTCCTGCAGTTCTTGGTGTTTCTTTGCCTCAAAATGAAGAGAGAAGCAGACTTCTTTAACTTTTTTTTCACATTGTGTTTTGACAAGAGTCATTGTCATCATGGCAAAAAATAGTTTAAAAGAAAAATAGGCAGGGAAAATGTCAAAAAGAAAGAACACTGTTACCCTCTGTTGTCTTCTGATAAAAATTTGACTCCCTTGACCCTGAAACATTTATTATAGAATTGCTTCAGATCATCTGAGGTCATCTGCCCTCTTCCTTTGTGATCTGGTTCACTTTCCATTTCCTATTGTGTCCTTTTCCATTTTCCAATCTTCATCAAGATTTCTGTGGAACCACTTTTACATCTTCCGCTGTCCTTCATTTTTCCCATTCATTGAAATTGCTTGTGCTTTTAATACCACTTTTAGAAACTCCCACCTATCTTAAGCTCCTTTTCCCATAAACTCCTCCTGCAATGGGAGTCTGTTTAGCATTGCTCCAAGATGAATGATGGGTTCCCACAACATTCTCTTCATCTGGCCCCCAACCCATATTGAGGCAGCTTTAAGTTGCCTGTAGTTGTTTGGTTGTTAATACAGTACTATTCTGTTAGAGTCGCAGTCAGGTGATTCTTTGGGAGTGGGATCAGCCTGGCACATTTTCACCATTTCTCCTCTGGCCCCTGGGCACTGTCCACTGTTTTGATTTGGCTGGACTGGAAGAGTGCAGCTCTTTAAATCTAGGCTCTCCTCCTTGTCTGCCAGGTTGCTAGCTTGGACATCTGGCTTTGAAAGAGGGACCCACCCAGCTAACATCCACATGGCATAGAACCTGGTTACCTGTGGGACCACCTATCTCCCATAGTATCTGCCTGGCTGATTCGATCTTGCAGGGTGACTGCACTCTGGGTTCCTTCAATTAAATAATGTCATCTATTGGGACCCCAGAAACATGCCTTTGTTTCCCCCAAGATCCAGGTGCCCCCCCTCTGCTGTTGTTTAGAAGAGCCAGGAAAACCTGGTTCTTCACCCAGGCCTTAGGCATGGGTGAGTGAGACCCCTCATTCTTGCCATCATTTATCTTTTTTCTTCCTTTCATTAGTTTTGTTGTAATTTCTTTGTTTTGATTGTTGTGAGCTACCCAGAGTTGTTGGGAGTCAAGCAGCATACAAATTTAATAATAAATAAATAAATCTGCCTGGCAGACCTGGGAGCTGTAGCATAAAGAAGGAGAGTGACAGGTGGTTCTCTCTCTGCCACTTCACTTCACTGCATAGCCTTTCCCCATCCCCAATCATCACCTGTCATGTTTGCCCATAGGGAAAGGCCATCATTCTTCCCTACTGATTCATACTGAGTCAAGGATAACTGATGTTTTGGGGCCTTCCTCCACCCTCTGAAGGAGAAAGTTATCAGCAAGAAAAGTCAGCAATTTTCTGAAAAAGACCAGTTTATCTCCCCAGAGACTTCAGGATAATTGAAGTTTCCCATCACTGTGTCTTCAAGTTCCCTTCAAAGAACTGCAATAGCTTTGGAAAGCATTATCCACATCTTCTCCATGGTTGGCTGAATAATGGTGGGCAACGTCATTTATTTGCTGTTCCATTTATTATAACTTGGATGTTCTTTATAACACTGCTAAGGTTTTTTATTTGAATTTTTAAGCAGGAATGAATATCATTAACAGACAGCGCAACTCCTCCTCCCATGCCATCAAGATCTTGAAGCATGTGAGTCATGCCTGTTGGGGCAGGATTTCAGAAGAAAGAGGTTGTGAAGCTAATGAAGCCAGGTTGGTTTTTGGTTGTATCCACTCGTCTAACATTTCTTGACAAACTGCATTCCTTAGAACTAAGTAACTAATGGAACACTTCTCACACACTCTTTGATTCCTACTTCTTGACTGGAAAACACGAGTCATAATAACTCTGAGCATTTAGGTGAGTTTCATACAGCTCTGGCCTAATTTTTCTGTAAAAAAGAGGTGCCTAACTCTTTCCCATCTTCCTGATATCCATCCATCACAAATTATCCTTATTTCCAATACCTTTTCCTCCTAGAACTTTCCAGATGTGTGCTATATATAGAATTTACAAGAAGGAAAGACCTGAAGAGATGAGCTAGGGAATTGAAACAGCCTATAGTACATGCTTCAAAGTTAAGCAGATTCCTTCCCCTTTGTTTTTCCATTCGAATGCCCTTATTTTTGGAGGTCCTTCTCATCTGAAGTGAGATGTGTGGATCTGAGGAGAAGGCCTCTGAATTCTGTCACTACTCTTGAAAAGTACTCCGAGGGCAGGGTAGGCAGAAGGTAGATTTGGATCTAGGAACTTCTTATAGATATCTGGGCATAGCCACTTACATATAATACCTATGTTAAAGCCCACTCCCCCAACTATTAAGCCTGGTTTCTTGGTCTTGCTCAAAATAACTTTGGACCAGGTTATTTGGCAATTCACCCTCACTCTTACAAACTAATGCAGTGGCTAAAATCATCAGAGGAAGCCTTCCTCTCTTACTGGAATACACAGATTCTCATCTGGTGGTTACTCAGAAATGGACTGGTACTCACTTTCTGGAATGATCTCTCCTCTGGTATTTAGGTGGTATCACTTTTGTACATTAAAAACTTTTAAAAATTTGCTTTAGAAAATATTATGGCTGAGAGCTGTTCTAGATGGTGTTGCAACCCTGATAGTGGGGAACAAGATGAGCCTTCTGCTAATCACATGATGCCATAACTTGATGCACATCATTGCAAAAATTCATTTTGTGTTAACGTTGTAATATCTATCAGAGGACATTCTCTATCAAGCTGTTTGAGAAGCAGAAATAAATCAGTGAATCACTGCCTTGTATTTCCAAGGAAGGGCTATTGTCTAGGGCCCAATTGGCCTGATTCACCTCCCAGTTCTTGGGATCCTGCTGAGGCAGCATTATGGCTTGACTGTGTAAAGGGATATTAATATAGAATGGCTGTCATGCTGCCTGGAACCTGGAAGGCAGTGGGGAAATGCCACCATGCCACAGCTATTTAAACTTTTCGTGTTTATAAAGGGGAAAGGAATGTGCATTTAAATACAAAATTATGAGTGCATCGTGAGATGCCCTTTACTAAACAGGCACTGGTTGACTGATGGTTCTCTATATTCGACTACTGATCAGAAAAGGGAAAACCCCCCCACAAATGCTGATTGACTAATGGTTCTCTGAGAGGTTTATAGATTCATCAACCATCACATGCTCATAGCTTCTTGACTGTCTGCAGTCAAAATAGCCTTGATCTGGTAAATAATAGATGGAGGACCAGCTGGGAATCCCGGGGTTTCTAGCTAGATTAGGAAGTCAAAAATAATCAGCAGAAACTGCACACAATGGTGACAGAAATAGCAGCCCACAGCTTGCAGATACTGACTCTCTTTCCTGTTGAATTCCATCTTCTGTGCAATACTCCCTCCATCCTGTTTTTTAAACACAAATCTAGTGCTCTTTTAAAAGAGCATGAACTGTGGATCCTTGGGTTTCTCTGAGCTTGGTTGTTTTCTTGCAGATGTTT